TCTCAAAAAATAAAATAAAATAAAATAAAATAAAATAAAATTTAAAAAGTAAAATAAAATAAAAATAACACAGCAAGCAGATCAGAATGTCCAAATTTACTAGAGAAGAAAAGTGGAATCATTGGCTATATTTTCAAATTGCATTCAACAGGAAATGTAAGTTTTGAATTCTTTTCATCTTCCTACTCCCAAGTTAATAGAATTAAACCAGAATACTCCATTCTTTCAAAGCCTCTAGCCAGGCAAAGTTTTACTGTCTTACTTCTTGCTTTCAATGGATAGAAAGCAGAGTCCTGGTAGGTACATTTTGTATACCTGCAAAGATGCAGAACTAAACAGTACCATCTGTTCAATATTAAAACAAAAGTCCTGTAAACCTCAGATGGTGAGTGTAATACTTTAGCACCAGCACCAAAGCCTCAAACATGAAAGGATACCAAGAATACCACCAGCAAACAAAAGTGAGCTCTTAGCTGGGAGCAATAGTTCATGCCTGTAATTCCAGCACTTCGCCAAGCCAAGGTAGGAGGATTACTTGAAGTCAGGAGTTCAAGACCAGCCTGGGCAGCATAGCAAATTCGCATCTCTACAAAAAAATTTAAGAATTAGCTGGGCGTGGTGGCACACGCCTGTAGTCATAGGTACTTGGGAGGCTAAGGTAGGTAAACTGCTTGAGCTCAGGAGTTCAAGGCTGCAGTAGCTATGATCATGTCACTGCACTCCAGCCTGGATGACAGAGCAAGACCTAGATAATTACAGTCTGTCCTGCTCCTGTTTACATTAAAATCACCAAGTTAAAATGCTTTCAATGAGCAGGATAAAAATTAAGTGAAATGTGACTTTGGAACCTAGCCAGAAAAATAGGCAATGGAAAAACAGCCACTTCCCACAGGAATAAAAATCAGGGAGAAGTATTGTTTTCATTTATTTATATTTAAATTTCCTTTCTTTTCCCTATTTTTTCTCATGTATGTATCACATGTAGTCTAGAGAGCTTGAATCCCTGCCTTTTAAGGTAAATCAGTTCATTTCTGTCTCTATAAATTTGCCTTTTTTGGACATTTCAAATCAATGGAATTATACAACATCTGGTCTCATGTCTGGCTTTTTTACTTAGCTAATGTTTTTGAGGCTGTTCTAGGACACACAACATGTTTTGGTAGTTTGTTCCTTTCATTATTGAGTAGAAATCCACTGATGGATATATCACATTTTGTCAGTAGAGAGCCTTTTAAACTCAGATTCCAACTTCCTGTGGTCTAAATGAAACCCTCCAAACACAGGACTTACAGGGGAAGCTGCTGTGCATGTCAAAATAGCTACTTATCAGAACCAGCTTTGTCATCAGGACCCTGAATTGCTGCAGAAATTTTTATTATTTTGCAACCTCTTTTTTACAAGGAACTTTTGTGCTACTACACATCAGGATTTTGAAGCATCTGATACATCCATTTAATAAGTACAAGCATGTATCTGAGTGGACAAGAAAGTGAAACCATCCATCATACACTGCATACTTTTTCCTTTTTTTTTTAATTTTTTCCTCCCCTAGACTGGACCAGGGAATCTCTCAACTTTCTAGAGTATCCTGTCTCCATGTACAAAGCCAAACAGTATTAAAGATCCTGCTGCCTTTGTTAGGCAGATTTGGAGGGGAGGCCCAATAGCAAGGGTGGAGAGGAAAAAGAGAGCGGAACTTGTGGAACAGGAAGCCCCGGGGGGTCTGTACTTGGCTCCCAGCTGTTGAGGATGTTGCGGATGGTGAGGTGCTGATGGTGTCCTGAGGCAGCCTAGCACCTCCAGTAGACCCAGAAGGTCTTGATTTGGACCCTTACCCGTGTCACAAGTGTTTAAAAGCTGTTTTTGCTTTTGTTATTTTCCTACATAATCATTACTTGGTAGTTAGTTATTAATCTTTCTTTGGGAGAGAGACAGGGCTTTAAAACTGAAGGACATAATTTTCATTAAAATATCAAAAATGGAAAAAGATTACTTTGTAAACAATTTGCTATATAAACCAAATGGCAGCTGTTGAGAATCTCAATAAAATGTTAAATGCATGTGCTGCTTTTAGAAGAAATAAAGAAGAAAATGCATTTGCTGGCAGTGGTACCCTTTTGCCTAAGGTTGGGTCACTGTGTCATCATACTGTGGTGGGGAGTGTGTGTGGTGTGTATGTGTGAAACTTTTCATCTCAGGATAGATCATAATCTTAGTTGGATTTTTCCTTCCAAATAGGGTTACAAAGTAGTAAAACATGGGCTTGGAAGTGACAGACCTGAGTGAATCAGGACAACTTAAAAATCCAATAAAAATAATTTTTAATAATCCTGAGGTTGGTTTGTGAAACAATAGATACCATTATTTATTCTAAGCATCTGGTTATAATTTTGAATCAGTAATACATACTGTCTCCA